TCAATGATATCCAGAATGCTAGAGTTACAGTTGAAGAGAGATGTAGTGAATTTCCAGAAATATGCCTGAGGGAGATCCAGATTAGACAGTTATGTAACAGACCTAGAGAACAACCAATGCAGTCTGGAGATATGTCCACGAGATATGTCTCCAAGAAAATAAACATAATAGAAGGCCTAATATCTTTGAATATACTGAGAAGCTATTTAGACAATTAGATAACAGTTTGGGAATCAATTCATAATGCTTATTTGCTCAGGCCCATACAATGTGGCTACAGTAACATAGGATCATCGGAAGATATTTTCACTCTTTCTTTGGCAACTCTGTCCAGATACTAGGTAAAAAATCCCTGAGCTAGTCTGCTAGAGAATGAGAAACCACAGGAAGGAGAAACAAACCTTTCTACCTGAGGCAACTCAGTAGTGGCAGCCACATCAGCCCCAACAGTTGATTTCACTTATGTGGAAGACCCCAGCCAAGACTAAAAGAACTGCCCAGCTGAGCCCAACTTGGGCTCTTGGCCAACTTGGAGAGTCATGACCTAAATCAGGGATTGGCAAGCTTTTTCTGTAGAGGATCATATAGTAAAAATTTTAGGGGTGATGGGACAAGAGGCTTAATCAAGAATATTATGTAGGTGCTTACATAACAAGAGAAAAAAATTTCACAAATTTTACTGATGAAATTAAAAATATAATGATTATTTATTTATTTTAGAATGCATGAGCAGGGGGAGGGGCAGAGGGAGAGAATCTCAAGCAGACTCCCCACTGAACAAGGAGCCTGACACAGAGCTCGATCTCAGGACCCTGAGATCATGACCTGAATCAAAACCAAGATTCAGGCACTTAACTGACTGAGCCATCCAGGTGCCTTGATGATATTTTTTAATAATATAAACCTAGTGACAATAGAATTCTGTTTGGGGAGGATAACATTTTGCTTTATTGTGGTTCAAAGTTAGATATCCCTATCATGAAAAATGGCTGCAAAACTCATTAATGCTGATGTTATGAGATTCTACATATTTCATCTTTAAAAGTGCCTAGTGCGGGTAGATACTATCAAATACTGATATCAGTCAGTGAGCATATGATTTTAATTGAGCATATTCATTACTTGAGAAACATTTATAGAATTAGGTTATTCTACTGATATTTTACATTTAGCATATCATTATGGTGTAGATTAATTACTTCCAATTGAAAGTTATGTGAAAGTTTCTCAACTGTACAGTAAGTGGATTTTGAAATATAGACATTTTATGCATTTGTATCAATGTCTGAGAAGCACTGATGGAACTGTAGTTTGAACTCATAAATTTGTATAGGAATGGAAGGCTCACTTTTTCAGGTTTAAAAGAGAAATTTTTATTTTATTTTATTATGTTATGTTAATCACCATACATTACATCATTAGTTTTTGATGTAGTGTTCCATGAAGTCTCACTTTTTTTAATAGTAAGGCAACTTGACTTGACTCATGATTCAAACACTCATATTCTAAGGTACATTTTCACAACCACGTGCAACATTTTAAATAATATATAAGTATGAAATATGTTTACATTGTATATTTAAAAAAAAGAAACACAGTTGCCCCCAGAGAATTTCTGATACTATGGTATATAGCCCACAAACCGGAATTGAGTTGATTGCTGAAATTTGTTCCATAAATAATTTAACTGTGTTTATAATCCTTAACTAAATTACACTGAAAAAGAACAAACATCCACAGGTCATTTATTAGTTCATGATTCTATGATTACTGAAATGTATGGTAGGTTAATGGATACTAAAACATAACTATACTTCTAAGCAATAAGGAGAAATTAAAAATCTTAAATAAAATGTCACATAAACTTTTAGCCCTAAATGATATTCATCATGATGTATTTCATTGTTATCCAATCATCCAGTTTTTTAAGAAATTAGTATATAGAACTCTTCCACATTTAAAAACTAGCTATATAATCATTTGGATGTGATTTCTTGCATAGATTTTATCTTTTTATTGCATATATTTTAGATAAAAATAAGATATGATGAGAAACATAACTGATATATCTTGACAAATCATAACATATATGCAAGTGGATGTGTTTCCCTCCAAACCATTTACCGTACAGCAGTGGTTCTCAGCTGGCGGCAATCTAGTGAATAGATACCAGAGATGCTGCTTACCCCAGGACACCCTCCCACAACTCCCAGCAAAGAATTGTCAGTAGTACTGAGGCTGAGAAACCTGCCTTAGAGAATATACCATGTTCCAATGGTGTAACCATTCCTAAAATATTCTGGAAAATACTCATTATAATCGCCTATTTGCATATACTCATTGGTGGCACATCTTCCTTCCTTGTGAGGTATATTTTATTTTAGACAAATTCTCATGTCTCATAGGGAATTCAACAAAACATCTAGGCAGAAATTCACAGGCATTTTGTATACATGCACCTAAAATCCACTAATTACTTCCAACTATAAGTCAGCATTTGGTCTAATTAGAAAATGGATGGCTTAAAGTTTACTTTTTGTATTATATTCAAAGGAATTTATTTCTTGGCAAGTATTTTTAAGGATGGATTTCACAACCTCGACTGTCACCTAATTCCCAACTGGAGAGAGAGTTGAATTAAGAAACATTTTTTTGAAAATTGTTCCTTATCAGGTCAAAAAGCAAAGAGATCCTCAAAAATGTGGATTGAGCAGATAATAAACTCTCAGCCCCCCAAAAGCCAATGGAAGAACAAATTAGCTAATTCCTCATGTTTTTTCTCCACCTGTCCCTTTTATTTAAATTGATGTTTTTGCCTGGTCACATTTACTGATACGACCCTTGCTACTTAGAAATTCTGGTTTATATTTAATGTGACATGGATTTGTCTTTTACATTCAAATAATCCAGATTTACAGTTCTTATCTGCAGTTCTAAAATTCCAAAAGCCCTGAAAGCTAAGGATTTTATAACTCAACTGTTGGCAAACCTGACCTGAACTGATGTGGAGCTTTTTGTACTTTTAATTTAGCCACATAGTGTGAATGTTCATACTGTCTACTATAGAACTATCAATGTGTTGTGTTTCAGGGAGCTTAGCAATATTTTTTGCCTTTCCAAAATAATGAAAATTTTCAAATTTCAAATTAGTGTGATACCAGTAAGAACTGTAATAGTATATGATTTTATTTTAAATAATTTTATTCTCATTTTTGTCTTTGAACATTTATCATAGGTTTTCAACTTTAGTCTCCAAATAATTAAGGAAACAACTTAGTACTCTATTATTTTATCAATGGAACTAGAGTTTAATGTATTCAGTGATTGAAGATAAAATGGTAACCATTTTCAAAGTTACCACCATTCTAGGGATTTGCAGATTTGTGACTTCATTTTCTGTTTTACAAAAGGAATCCAAAAAATTATGAGCATACCAGTATTGAAGTGGAAAGAGGAGGTATGATCAGGCAGATGATAAAAAATGATATGTATGCTGCTAATATTTCTAGAAACATGCTGAATATCACATAATAATCTTTTTAAAATACAGAATAAAATTTAATGTCATTCTCCCTCAAAGAAGGAAAACTAAAATGTAATCAAGGATGTAAGAAAACAGCCATTTCCATGGACTGCTTATTGGAAAAAAAATGTGTACAAAAGGTCAGAAACTATAAGAGAACTCAAAAATTATATTCTTTGACCAAAATGATTCTACTTCTTGAATTCATCTTATAGAAATATCTAACATGCACCACAAAAATACATATATGGATGTTCATCACTGCTTTATTTTATTAAAAACAACCATAATACACATGAATGAGGATTGATCAAATAAATTCTTGCATATCCCTGCAATGGAATGTAAATCATATTATGAAGTAATGTATAATGGGTTAAAGTATTCAAAATATATTTTAAGTGTAAAATGCCAGTTAGAAAATAGTATGTACAGTTTGAGCCCCACCTTCTCTATACCCAAGTGTGGAGATGTGTGTATTGTTTTGTGCTCATAATTTTCTGTATTTTCAAATTTTCTACAGTAAATATATTCACAACAGGAAATTCTTAATATTATTTCATATTTCCTGGGTTATATACACATATCTAAAATTAATTGGGAAAAACCAAACGAAAACAAGTATACACTACAAAGTGAAGAGTCCTCAAGACTAACAAAGTGAAGCAAATACTCCTGCAAAATTTCAAGGCATTTTCTAACTGATCACCTGTGAAAGACGGATGCTACCTATATAGATAAGTACAAGTTAAAGAAGTTTATTTTGTGGCATTCATCCAATCCATGATATGCTATTTTAGCAGAAAATATACTTTCTGAAAAGTGTTGTACTTGTTTTTCAGAATTTTAGCCTTTTTTCTCCTTATCTGAAATTCTGAAATCTCCAAGGTACTTGATTACAATTTCAGTAATACAGGAAGTACCACTTTTCTCCCCAGATTCCTTGTTTCAAATATTAGCACACAGGGTGGAATTTTTACCTCTAATTCATGGTGTCCAGCTCTCAACATCTTAACCTGGCAGAAGGACCAAACTAGCTGTAAATCTTCACCAGACCACACTTGATTACTGTATGATGGGAAAATTAAACGTGAATAAAACAGCTAGAGCATTAGGGTGTTCTTGGAAGAATAAACACAAGTTGGAAGTCTTATGTGGATAGTGCAAAGTACAGGAAGGCAATCAATCATGTAAACATCAAATGAAAGGTTGGTAAGGAAGCCATTGGAGTCTGTCAGGCGCTCCCTGCAATAAATGACTTATTCCATTTCTTTTCCCTTTCACTCGGTTTAGAAAAATGAATTCTGTGAAATCTCTAACATTCTAAAAGATTTTGTAAATTCTTATTCCTGTTTAAAGATACACTTTGAGCGGAATGAGCTCAACCCATTGCAGAGGAGTTTTTGTTTACATAAAATGGACACAAACATGTCATAGTGCATACCTCCCTGACTTTTTTTCTTTCTCCCACAAACAGGAAACTGTCAAGGCAGCAATAATAGAAGAGCAAAAGCGAAGTGAAAAGGCTGTGGAAGAGGCAGTGAAGAGAACAAGAGATGAACTGATAGAGTATGTAAAAGAACAGAAAAGAGTAAGTATCCCCTGAAGGGTTTTACTTTGTGCTTCCATAAACTGAAACATTGGCTTTCCTACAATAACATGACATTTTAAAATATTTAAAATGTCCTTTGTCATCTAATTTAAGAATCTCCAAGATTCTTTTTCTGATATAACTATATATTCTGATAGTTCTATCTTTAAACATAAATTCCATCTGTCAACAAAAAGCAACACTGAATAACTTCTCGCTAGACTCCTAGAAATGACCTATAGCATTTCCAACTTAATTACCTCATGAAGAAAGTAGACAGTTTTAGATTTTTAGGTTTTTTGCCATAAGTTTGTTAATTTCCTACACTAGCTGTTGAAATTTGCATACACCGTTTAGGCCTTCTGACTGTGTTAACACCACTGTGGTTCTAGTAGACTTCAGTACAATTAGCAAGTTAAGGTTCTTCTGTCACAGTTCCATTTCAGAAACATAATTCAGAATATGCTTCAAAAAATTCAGAATACATATTGAAGCTTTACAAAATAAATGTCACTTCAGTGCAATGTGGTCTTATTAAGGTGTGAGTTTGAGCAGTGGCTGAAAATAATGGGTCAGACTTAATTTGTAGTCTTTGCAACAGATCTTTAGTCTTAAGTAAGAAAGATAAGAAACACATAAGATGTTTAATGTAATCTCTGTAATAAACATATTCTAATATAGTACATAAGAAGTTATAAATTTTCTTATACACAATGGTTTATCTTTTTTATATGTTTCGTATAACATGTTATATATTATAGAAGTAATATACTTGGGGATTATATAATATATAATATTAGGTATATATATGTAATATAAACATGTAGCATTTAACCGTATGTGTTATGTAATATATAATAAAAATATAAATAAAGCATAAAACAGTGTGTGTGTATGAGGAAATTTGACACGTGATATCTAAACTTAATTGGTGGTCAAATGGCAAAATAAATACAAAATGTAGGATTACCCTTCAGTTGGCAGTTAAGTAGAAGGCTAGGAGTACAGTAAAAGCACATGACACCAGCTTAATTCCACACTCTTAATTTGAAGTCAAATTTGGTATGATAAAAAGAAAATTCTCCTCCCTCAATAGCTACCATTAGGTTTCAACAAAGGAGAATTTGTCAGCAGAGGAAAAATTGCTAATTAAGCTTTCCAGGTGAATTATCCATTCATAGAAGCATTTTGTGTGGGATTAAATTTTTGTGCATCCTATCCAGGTGTTTTTAAAAGCAGTTTCACCAAGGGTGCCTGGGTGGCTCAGTTGCTTAAGCGACTGCCTTCGGCTCAGGTCATGATCCTGGAGTCCCGGGATCAAGTCCCACATCGGGCTCCCTGCTCAGCAGGGAGTCTGCTTCTCCCTCTGACCCTCTTCCCTCTCGTGCTCTCTATCTCTCATTCTCTCTCTCAAATAAATAAATAAAATCTTTAAAAAAAATAAATAAATAAATAAAAGCAGTTTCACCCAAATAAATTCCTGATAGGTGCCTAACCTTCTGAAGAGAAAACTCTGAGCCAAAAATAGTCAATTGACTTTTTAGGAAGTGATATATTCTCAGAAAACTGCTATTTCTCATGTGTATCCCCAAAATGCTTATTTTCAGTAGTCTGGTTTAGAAGTAGTCATGCAGCAAAGGAACTATAGATGCTTTCCACATATACACACAACTGCAATAGTGAAAGAACATAAACTTCAAGTAACTTCAGGATGTCTTGTGGGTGTATCCTTTTCTTTCAGGTTTTCTTAATAATATGTGACCAGTCTTTACTTGAGCTCTAAATCTGAACAAGAGATTATAGAAAAAAGCAAACACACTCGTGACATTATTTTACACTTGATCTTAGCCAAAAGGCCGAGAAGTGATCTCATGACATTATTTTAGATTTGTATTTTTTCAATCAAAATGGAAGATTTTCTTAGAAAATTTCAGAATTCTATTACTTTCCCATCAAAAGGAGTCATGTGGCTGCCATAAGAAATGTTTAAGATGAGAGCAAGAAATGCCCTCATCCGGTCCCTATGTGAGCAAATTAATCCTTGAAGAGGATTGACAATGCACTCTGCCAATTTAATCTGTGTGTTCTTACAAATCCTATTAAAGAATTAGTATTCATTTGTATTAGGTAAACCAGTTCTCACATGTAGAAACATTCATTAAATAACAACAACAAAATCAGGACATTTGATTCTATTTGCACAAATTTCCACTTCTTTATGCTTGTTCCTGTAAGGGAAATAAATGTAATACCTACCTTACAGAATTGTCACTAATAATAAACATATACTAAAATAGAACAGCTAAAGTAAGGACTCAATAATATGTGCTGTGGTTTTTATCATTTCACTGCATTATTAGGAAAAAAATACCAGAAACTCCTAGTAGCATTATTTTTTTTTTTGCTAATGAAAAATGTGCTTTTCAGATTAATATTTGGCATTCTCTTTCTTCTGAAGTTTACAGTGTGATTCTAAAAGTTTATTCCACTCTTGTTACTAGATTGACAGAAGATTAGAACTGATTTAATCAGTATACTAGTAGGAAGTTTATTACTTCCACTTGGGGATTTGGGAGTTATTTTTATAGCATGTTGTGGAATACTTTTAATATTTGAATGTTTCCATCTCTTCAAACAGAAAAGCTATAAAAAAGGAAAATGGATAAAATATCTGAAATGGAGCACCAACCAATTACTAGACCTCTTTTTTATATAACTTTTTAAAAATTGAGATTCTCTATACTCTTCTTTCCAAAACTGGGTTTCAGTATTTCAAGTTAATTTGTGTGAATATCTTTGGGCTTGGAAATTTTTCACAAAAAATAAGATATCTCATAGCTTATAAAGTCATAGTTAGAAGAAACAAAAGTTTTTTAGCAAATTCATAATCTTCTTGTCTCTTTCCAGAAGACTAAATTAGGGCAACTCATCTCTACTTCTTCCTTTGTAAGATGGATTTCTATTTGCATCAGAGAAGAACACTTTTCCAGAACAAAAATTTTCCTTTCTCTTCTCCAGCTTTTTTTAACTAGAGAGTCAACTTGAGATTTTTAGCATTAGACACCTCAAAAGCCCTATAGACCTTAGTTCCAAATGGGCTTACATTCCAGTCTGTGAAGTAATCTTCCCCTTTTGAAGTTTTCAGAAATCTTTGAAGGAAGAAGTCTAATGTTGTGTTCCTGTCTTCGTATGTCTTTTGTCTTAAACAATTTTTCCTTTGACATCATCTTACCCTTACCAAATTCACTAAAAGGCTGAAATGAAGACTCTTTTCCCTACATCTTTCCCTTTAGTCTTTTACTTTTATTTATTTATTTATTTATTTATTTATTTATTTATTTATTTATTTATTTTTTTAGTCTTTTACTTTTAAAAGATAGGGAAACACAGAATGAAAAATCCAAATGCTTGACTTTTTAAATAACTTATAGCTTGTCCTACAGTGTAAGATGCAGTAGAATCAAATATCACCATAGTGGTAACATTGCTTTTTCTGTGTGTGTGCAGTCAACAAGTTTTTAATCAGTTATCCAATCCTTTTAAGTATTACAATTATACAAAGAATTAGAATTAAAATTATATAAAAATTAGAATTATACTGAGAAAATGTTTTACTTTTAAATGCCATTTACCAGTTTTCCTTAAATCAATAGAGATATCAAATTTTATAAATACTATTCATCTAGTCTAAACATCTTCGATAGAACAGAGGGGCTACCTATACATGTACTAATTGAGTGAATTATAATTTACACTGAAATTGCATACTAAATTATTTACTAAGTTGGATACATAGTACTTATATTGTTAGTCCAAGTCATAGTAGCAACCAAAAATTAGTATGGAATCAAAATACCAAAGAAGGAGAGCTTTTTAAATGATCAATCAGAAAAATAATTCAAATTAATAATGGATCTGTTCCAGTGATAAAATGACTTTCTTTTAAGTATTCTAAGGAATAGGGATTTTTTTTTTAATCCTCTGTAAACGCTTACCTTGTTAAGCCCAGAAAAAGTAATTATTATATTGAATTCACAACTAGCATAGAATTGAAAAGCTGCTGTTTTGTAGCCTCAACTCTTACAAATTTTCCAACGGATGATAAAAATTGTCTTGTTTTTTTTAAAGATTTATTTATTTATTATATGAGAGAGCGAGCACGTGCATGTGCACAGAGCGGGGCAGAGGGAGTGAGAGAATCTCAGGCATGCTCCCTGCTGCACATGGAGCCCCGTGTGGGGCTTCATCTCACCGCCCTGAGATCATGACCTGAGCTGAAATCAAGTCGGATGCTTAACCAACTGAGCCACCCAGGTGCCCCTGAAATTGTCTAATTTTTTAAATAAATTTAGAAATTTTCACTATAATTTGTACAATCCAAAGAAAAAGTAAAAGGAAAACCTGAAAAGATTTTAAGATATATTTAATTTGAGAGTCAGCTAGGTATCTTCAAGTATAGTGATTTGCATTGGAAAGGCTATAACTGTATTTCATTAAAATTTAAATTTTGGTCCAAACTCTCTTGAATCATTATAAATTCTACATAAGAGATTGCAAACTGTAACCCATGGGTCAAATCTGGTTTGCTACTTGTTTTTGTAAGTAAAGTTTTATTGAAACACGCAGCCATACCCCTTCATTTGTGTATCATTTTTTAGCTGGTTTCATGCTGCAATAGCAGGGTAGTTTGAGATTCTATCAGGACCATCTAATGTAAAATATTTACTATCTGACCCTTTACAGAGAAAAGCTTATCAACTCCTGTTCTAGACCATCAAAATCATCTTGTAGGGAAAATTCCTTCCTGTCAGGCATTTTTGAAAATATTTATTCTTTCATTATGCCTCATTGCAACTAGACAGTTGAAATTCCATAGGTGCCAATCTGGGGAAGATTTTTCTCTTGATATTAATTGCCAGGTAAGGTATTATTATAATATATTAAATCCGGTGATTAGTAGCATAAACTGTATTTTAGACTAAAGGAGATTCTAGAAAAAT